AAGTCACAGAAAGTTATCCACAGTCCCCAGAGTGATATTTTGCTTGTCCTTTTTTTTTTTTACACCACCATGAGGGTACACTTATTGCCTCCAGGAAAATTTGTGCCAACAGCACATTGATTTCTCAAATAAAGTTTAGTGAAAGCATTTCATGTCCCTCTGAAGATAAATATATTAACTCTGGCAGTTTTCTGGTTTTATCTGTCTTATTTAAATGTGTCCAGTGTTGGAGTCTATGCCCAAATGCATGTAATCATAACTATGGTTTGTTAAGAGGTCTGTTTTGCATCAAACCTGAATTTTACATGCATTTTCCTCAATAAACCCAAAGGATTTTGAGGTCATTTTCCTGATAATTTTATAAATTTTCTACCAATTTACAGAAATTTCACAGAGGATTTTCTGAGAATTTTCCCAGAATAATCTGAAATGTACTATTAAACTTTTAAAATTCTACAGAGGACTTTTTCAGGACTTAAACCAGAAAAACTGCGTAACCTTTTAAAAACTTTTTCCACAACTTTTAGGATTTTCTTTCTCACAAACATTACAGACTTGTTGGTAAAAAATGTCAGGACCTTTCTTCTAAAATTTGTTGGACTTTTAAGCATTACCCAAAATCTTTCAGGAATTAAACCTAGAGATGATTGACAGGCTTGTGGAAGAATTTTTCAGGAATTGTATCAAAAAATTTTAAGAATTTGTACTTAAATTAAGAGAAATGGTAGAAATAAAAACGTCAGTTTGACTTTATTGAAACTTTCTGTTAATCAGTGTAATATTTCAGGATACTTTGGGGGAATTTTTCATAAAAATTTGGGGGATTTCAAAGGAAAATTTGTTCTTACTTTGTTGTTTTTGTATCTTAAAACATTCTTATTTCTAGAAATAATTCAGAAATTTTCTTGGAAATTGAAAGTAGAAAGTCTGGATGTTTCAAAACTTGCTTTGATGAAATATTTGTAAAACATTTTCCTGGAAATTTTCAGGATTTTTTTTCCTGAATTTTTTTTGGAAATATTTTTAAAAAAATTCTGTTAACCATTCATTAAAAACAATCAAGAAACTTCAATTTTTTTGATAACATATCTGCAAACTTCCCAAAATTGATGCTGGATTAAGTTTTTTTTTTTTTTTCTGTTTAATTGTGTTGTTTTCAATCCTTGTGTGAGTATGACTTCATTCTATGGCAATTTGCTGTTGCCTTTTTGCTTTGCGTTAGTCTGAGTCATAAAAATACTCTCTTGTACAATAAGCCCGTTATGGTACTTCAACACCTCTAACATATTTCCTCCCGACAGGCAGCAAAGGTGCAAAGGGTGAGAAGGAAAAGGTGAGGTTTCGTTAGTATGGAAGGAAGGGCTGAGGCGAAAGAGTAGGAGTTGGAGTAGGAGGTCTGATTCATGACCATTAGATACTCTATCCAAGACGAGCAAGGACACCTAATTTTTCTTGCTGGTGTTTGGGTCTCTTTGGATGTTCAATCTTTGCCCACATCCCTTGCAGAGCCCCAGCCTCAAACACAGTGACATCTCTACAATCACTTCAGAAAACACCCCCAGATGTAACGCTCTCAGCACCACTGAGCACACATCCCCCGGGAGAGCATCTCATCTTCCCTCTAACATCTATTAACACAATACAGCAGCATGTGGCTGGTAGGTGGACTGAGCAGACGCAGAGAGGGATGAGAGCGCTGAAGGGGCAGAATTTGTGTCAAATGGATTCACGCCGTCTGCAGTCACAGAAGACAGAGTTACAACTCATGATCTGTTTCCTTTAAGGTAAGAAAATAAGTGTAGATGGGGATTATTTCATCATTTTAAAGACACATTCTCTCTCTTGAATAATAGGCATTTGCAGTAAATTAAGATTGACTGTAATAAGGTATAAAAGGAAAGATATACTTTGTCTGTTTAGATATTAAAGCTACAGGTTTGCACTGAGGAGGTAAATCTCGACAAAACATCATCCAAGACTGGCTTTTAGGAGCAATGTTTTAAAGCCATCTCTGTGTTTGGTTCCCGCAAACATCACAAGGAACTGCTCTTAGATGTCTTTGCATGAAATTGAACTTTTTTTCTGAATAGCTGCAAGAAGATAATCGCAGTGAAAGCCACATTTTCGCACAATTTCTTTCAAAGCTGTCACTGAATGACAAAAAGAAGCAGATTGCATGAATTTCAGTCGTTGTATGGTTTGATAATAATCCTTTACTGGGAGCCTGCAGTAATTATGGTTTAGAGCATTTAGTTTGACAGTAGAGAGAGCGTCATACGGACTGAAAAGCTGATGCATTTTTCTTCCTTCTTTCTTTCTGAGCAATTAATGTGTCATTCAAAGTAAAATGTCTGAAGGATATTTTTGGGAATGACTTCAACAATGATGGTGATCTGCAGCCACAGTGTTGTAAACTGTATGCACAAGCTAAAACAGAGTTTTTCAGAGTTTGCTGCACTTCACTTTGTACCCCTCACTCATGCAGCTAGAATAATTCTAAATGGGTATTCAATCATTCTTTGTAAGATAGACAAGAGAAATTTATGTTTTTGTCTTTTAATGTCCATTTGTTCTGTGCTGCACTGAGACATTTCTTGTATAAATTTGTGTGATGGTTGTTATGATAATTATAATCACCCACACTGAGTGACACTATGTGTTCATTCTACTTTTGGACACAATGGAGCAAAACAAAACTCCTGTTACGTTACAATCTCTCTGAAAAAAATGAACCGTAAAGATTTTATCCTTGTTTTTCGTCTCTTTTTCTGTTTACATTTTTATCATTTTCTTGTGCTTTTAGTAGTGCATTTGGACCCACGAGTCTGAAACCAAGTTTATAGTAAGACAGACTATGTTGCTGTTGGGTTGCAGTACTGTAATTACAAGTGCCCCTTTGATCAATAATTCACTTTATTTTTCTTTGTTTAAGAATGAGGGAAAAAAGAGGTTGTAGGATGAATTTATGTCGAGCTGAAAAAAGAAAAGATTTGTATAAATTATGTTTCAACTGGTCAGAACTGAGAAAAAAAAAAACATTGTTATGCTTATTTAGGTATTCAACTCTAGTTCATATGAAGTTACTGGCTAAATTTCAATCATTGATTTATCCTTTACAATAAAGAATTTGTTAAACAGTTAAGAAAAACAAATGGTTAGAACTGAGAGTCAGGTCATGATGTTAAAAGAATAAAATAACTTCATTTTAAGAATTAAGTTTTATTATAGTCATAATATATCAAGAATCAAGTTGAAGAAAAAGCATAATGTTACCACCATAAAATTGTAAAATTTATACTATTTCAAGAAATAAAGTCCAATAACAAAAATAAAATCTGAACAGTCATGAAATTACAAGATTTAAGTCTTAATAAAATTATGATATTATATGAAAAAAAAGTGCTATAAAGTCAAATTATCACCGAAGCCATAATATAAGAGTACAGTCATAATTAAGTCATAACATAACATAACATAACAAGAAAAGAGTAATAATGATTTAAGAATGAAGTTGTTAAAAGCCTTTTTAAACATAAAGTTATATTAAAGTTGAAGTTTTACAAGAATGTCATCATTATAACGTCATAATTTTGCAAGAACAGTTATAACATCGCAAGAACACAGTCATTTAACAAGATTAAAATCCTAATGGTTATAAAACTACAGTGAATTCTGAATAAAGTTATAAAACTGTGGGAACATTTTTTGAAAAGTCCGAATATTTCATTTGAAAAGTTGTAACAGAGTCAAAATATTACAAAATTAAATCATAATTGTATACTACAAGAAGAAAGTCATAAGCTGTAAAATTAAAAGAACAAAGTAATAATTAAAAAATGAAGTTGCTGAAAAGTCTTATTATAATAAAATTAAAGTTATGTAGTAGTAAAAGTTTTACATAAATAAAGGTATAATGTTACAAGAATAAAGTTACATTGTGAGAATACATTTGTATAAAAACAGTGTTAAAGGGAATTTTTACGTTGCACCATCTTCCTCAATTTTAAGCAGACACTGGGCTGTTTACCCAGACCCTTCATTTTCATAATCACTTTATTTTTGTGGTTTTATCTGTAAAACATTGTGACTTTGTTGTCATACAAGTATGGCTTTATTCTCATCAATTTAGGGACTTAAATCTTGTTTTATTATCTTTTTTAATCCTTTATGTGTCCCTTACACTCTGTTGTAATCTTGTGACCTTATTAATCATACATAGATAGGAATCCTTTGGTCTGTTTGTCTCACTAATGACAATGACACAGCTGCTAAGCTGTAAGAATTCAAATGCTCTATATTTTAGGTCCACTGTTTATGAAAACTGAATTTGCCATAGATCCAAGGTCCAGCAGCGTTTAATTTTTTATTATGTTGTGAAATAATAAGCACTCAAAATTGGATTGTTCCTTGTAAATAAAAAAAACAATTTGTGTTCAAAAGTTCAAAGTGTTGTGCTCTTGTTAAAGACCTAATAATGACTGGACCGATCTGTATGCTTGTACCTTCATACAGCAAGACAACTGCTTGGAGCATCTATGAAATGTGAAAAAATACCAATCATCCAAGTCTGAAAACCATTACAAGTCAGTAAATAGTCTTCCTCCCTGAATGTTGTGTTGATGCTGACTGATAAAACTCAAACACTGACCTGGCTGTTCTTCTGCTCTTGGAACTGATTGACCATTTGTGGGTCATCATGTTCTGTATTCGAGGGTGTGTAGCAGCATACACTCCACTCAATCAAGCAGCCACTCCAATAATAAGACAAGAGCATTGGACTATTGACCTCTAGGATAGGTTATATTGTTTTATGTAATTACCCATTGATTCCCTCTTGTGGTCACTCACCCACTGGAAGATGTGTGCAGTGGTGTTCTGCTGTATAATTGGTTTATATTGTGTTTTTGCTGCAGGGGTTTTTGGAAACTCAAGGCAGAGGATGTAGAGATAATAGTCTATCCATGTCTTACATCTCCACTTATTTTCTTTTCAGTGTAGCCATGACACAGAATCCAGCTCTCAACTCCACCTTTGAGGGCCTGAATCTGTCCACTTTCTCCAGACTTCAGGAGAACCCATCGCCCCAACAGAACATCACCTATGTCAATTTCTACCTCCACAAGGCCTCTGTGGCTGCCATCTTCACCATCTCCTACCTGCTCATTTTCTTGGTTTGCATGGTAGGAAACGGGATGGTTTGTTTCATCGTGCTGCGCAGCAAGAACATGCGCACAGTCACCAACCTGTTCATCCTCAACCTCGCCATCAGCGACCTGCTGGTTGGCATCTTCTGCATGCCAACTACGCTAGTGGACAACATCATAACAGGTCAGAACCTACAGGCTTTTGTAGGTGTTTGATTGGTTTTCACTTTAAAGTTGATTTATTGAGTTTTTTGTTTTAGTTTGATGATGAAATATTAAAGGTATATTCCGGCGTAAAATTAATTTAGGGTCAAACACACCATAACACCAAGTTAGACAACCCCTCAAGAGATGAATGTTGCTGACCGCTTGCTTCTCTAGTGATACCAACTTAAGTAACAACCGCAGGATAGCAATACACAGCAGTCTGAGGAGCCATCAACAAACCTCAACCAAAACGCCACTCTATAGCCACAAATAATGTTCAGAACAGCACCTAACTTCATCAACAGTACATATAGGGTCCTAGCCATAGCACTAGCCACCAAACATCTTTTTAGCTTTGCCTGATTTCTTTAGCAAAGAGACTAAACACAACTCACCTACTCTCTTCCAGCAGCCGCTTGTTTGTAGCGAGACCTCAGGCCAGTCCATCATTGACTGCAGCGGGGTGACGCAGCTCAAGGAAGAACATTTATGAACCTTTTTTTATCATTTCCTTGATGTAATAATCATCATATTAATTATTTTGCACTGCAGACACGGTAGTTCTTCTGCCTTCACGTCTTGGTCTGATTGCATTTCCATGAAGAAATGATAAGAGAGTAGGTGAGTTGAGTTTAGTTTCTTTGCTAAAGAAATCAGGCAAAGTTAAAAAGATGTTTGGTGGCTAGTGCTGTGGCTAGGACCCTATTTGTATTGAAGTTAGGTGCTGTTCTGAGCATTATTTGTGGCTACAGAGTGGCGTTTCTGGTTGAGGTTTGTTTATGGCTCCTGAGACCACTGTGCATTGCTAATGTGCTGTCGTTACTAAATTTGGTGTAACTAGAGAAGCAAGCGGTCGGCAACATTCATCTCTCAAGGGGTTGTCTAATTTGGTGTTACAGTGTGTTTGACCCTAAATTAATTTTATGCTGGAATATCCCTTTAATATGTTCTTCTGAGGTAAGGGCCAAGGATTCAACCTCTTGAGACACAATCAGATAGTAGAGTGGGCATGTAAGGTCATGGAGGTCATGTATGATGATGTTTTGTTTTTGGTTGAACACACCTCAAAGACAGCAACTTCACAGTTTTTCCTAACTGTTTTTTCTCTTTCCTGCAGGTTGGCCATTCGGCAGCGTCCTGTGCAAGCTAAGTGGCATGGTTCAAGGGATATCAGTGTCAGCATCCGTGTTCACCCTGGTTGCAATTGCTGTTGACAGGTAAGACTTTAGGTAGTTACTGTTGATGATGGGCTTGTGAGGGCGTGTTACATCCCAAAAGACTTCCTGTACTTTATTTATTCCCACTCAATCCCTGTGTGTCAGGTTCCGCTGCATCGTCTACCCTTTCAAGCAGAAGCTGACCATCCCCATTTCAAAGCTCATTATTGTGGTCATCTGGGTCCTGGCTGTGTCCATCATGTGTCCCTCTGGAGTGATGCTGCAGGTCACTAAGGAGCACAGGGTGAGAATTGTCCTTGGCGGCAACGACACCCGGCCTTTCTACTGGTGCCGGGAAAACTGGCCAAATCAAGAGATGAGGAAAGTCTACACCACTGTCCTCTTTGCTAACATCTACCTTGCTCCTCTTAGCCTAATTGTCATCATGTACGCTCGTATTGGCTTCACCCTGTCCAAGACTACGATTCCCACAATGCGGGGGACTGACTCTTTGTCAGAAAAGGGCATTGGCAACAACAAACCAAACGTGGAGGGTCGTCAAACAATTTCAAAGAAGAAGACTCGTGTGATCATGATGCTACTGGTCGTGGCTTTGCTCTTCATCTTGTCCTGGCTTCCTCTATGGACATTGATGATGCTGAGCGACTATGCCAGCTTGACCGAGCACCAGTACCGTGTCATTAACATCTACGTGTATCCCTTCGCTCACTGGTTGGCCTTCTTTAACAGCAGCGTCAATCCCATCATCTACGGATTCTTCAATGAGAATTTCCGCAGAGGCTTCCAGGCTGCTTTTAAATTCCAGCTGTGCACGATCGGCATCGAGCACCAGAGGTCCTACTCCCACCGCTTCCGAGGAAACGCTGTGCTCCCGTTCCAGTCCCCAGCATTGAATAGGTCAGGGTCAAGAGGTGGATCAGCCCTCTTGAGGAATGGGAAGTGCTCAGGTCAGGAAGGACGGCACTCGAGTGGTAAAAATGATGTCAAAGGACAGGATCTGATCATGGAGGACCTTGAACAGGTGTCCCAGATTTAGAGAAACTCAAACTCTGAATGGATCAGACAATTTTCAGCATTTTTCAGAACAAAAAAATAACAAAAACTGCCATGTATATTGGTTCCAATGAATGTGCTTTCCAGCTTTGAATCTCCTGTCATTAGTTGTTTTAGAATCCTCACATTAGACCCCACTTTGTGAGCCAAACCCTTTGTTTGAAACTCCCTTGCAGAAGATAGGGTGTCTCATTTTAAGGAGATTTACAAACTAATACTGTTGATCTGGATCAGGAACCCCCAAAAAACCTAATCAAGGGACTTAATCCAACCTATTTGTACGCTGCGCCCAGACTGTGTGCCACTTGACCAAGAAAAAGGGGTCAGACATACTTTTTATTCAATTTGACGGTAGATTGTGAGTTTTAGGTAGTTACAGGCCCATAATCACAAAGCTTCACACATCTCTGCTGGTAAAACAAAGGTACAACAAGGTCAAAGCCAACTTAATAATTACAGACTGAGCCTGTAATTATTGGAAACAGACTTAAAATATAATTGTAGTTGGAAAAACAATCAGAGAACACTTTGCAAACTTGAGACATGGATAATGACAGTGCAGAAGTTTCTGTTTTCAACTACTTGAGAATAACGATAGCTTTGTTTTCATCTTGTATGCAGGTAACTTGGTGATGAATAAGATCTGAAAAGCCATGCTGCAGAATCATGGGCACTCCAAACCACAGGTGGTGAATATTTTTAAATACTATATAAGTGGTAACTATTGTGCACATAGAAAAAAGTTGTATAATCAGAAAGCTAGTAGACACATGGCTCATGTGTTTTTCTAATATTAAGATGTATATTGTGGTCATCATGGCCACTATGGACGATGCTGAGACAACATTTCTTGAAGGTGACGCAAGATAAATAAACAGCACAGCCCAATTACATGATTCGGTTTTTCTCTGTGTTAGAAAACTGTACTTGAGTAGTACACCACTCATTGGTGGCATGTAAGGCACTGTGATGAATTTCCATCAGCTTCATTACGTGTGTATGGATGTTTCAGTGCCTCAGGGCAGCTAAACCTATAATGGGCAGACACAAGAAGCAGAGGGTCAAAGTCTCATCTGAAGAGCCTCCATAAGACTTCCTGTCCTTGGCTTGGCTTGTCGTGTTTCAGCACTTTAAACATTGCCATGTCATGATGGGACATTTCTTTGTTGGTTAAGTGCATAAACATAATGATGATGTATATGTTGCACTTGACAACTATTTAAACTCAATACAAGGCAAATTCTTTGATTTCCACAACCGACTTTGTAACATGATACAAAATCAAAAAATGGGATAACAGTATGGAGAGAACGAAAACTAGCATAGGCAGGAGGTTTGGGAAATGGAAAGTAATCAAGTGTTGTTAAATGACTTTAATGTAATTTACCTAACCATGTCACAATGGTCTCTTTTTAATCAAATTCAAGCCTGTATAAATTCTGAAGCAAAATTTAGTTACCTGTTATTGCAGAAGTTTCTTTTTAGCGTAGCGAAGGTGAGTCAACAAATTAAGTGACAGGCCAACAACAGAATATTAATTATGACCTTGATTTTGACCATTTAAAGCTATACTCTATCCAAGAGTTAGCCAAGCAATACCAGCCCATAGCCTGATGATTCAAACTGCTAAACAACAGTAGCTAGGTTTTTACATGTTATCCATTATGTATCATATTTTAGTATGTGGGTTGGCCTTAAGTATCATAGGAATTGTTGACATCAACAGCACATTTCTAAAACTTTGAGAGTTGGTCAAAGGAGAGGAATAATTCATCCACGTGGTTGTATGTGACAATTAATTGGTGCCAGGATGCTACGAAACAGCTAGCATTACAATCTAGCTAGTGAATGCATAATTTAATTATTTTTTTCAGAAAAGACTTTGGACATAACCTTACTAAAGTAACTAAAATACTTGGTTTTGACCCGTTAAAATAACAAAACAATCCGATGAACAACTCTAGATTAATAAGCCGCCATTACTGCGGTGTGGTGTCTGCTACAGCCTCTGCTATATAGAATGCAAGTTGTTCCCAGATGTCTCAAGCCTATACCTTATCAAAGAGTCCTTTTTGCATTAGAATGGCACTTTACTTAGACCTCCCCAAGAGGAAGACACTGTCGAGAAAGCAATCAAGTATATTGATCTTAATAAAGTATTATTGATATTATTAGTTACTTTACCCCTTTTGAGTTACCCCAATAACTAGTAAGCTCTTTTAGGAGCAGCTGGTAATCGTACATTCCTGTTGTGGTCGCAAACAAATAAATAATGAAAATATATCAAGTACTTACTTTGTCTATGATGATCAAATACAGTGGTTAAATATTAATGTATTCAACCTGGAAGAATAATGAGACATTACTTTGCATTTAGTCTCAAATATTTGGTGAATATGATAATAATATTTCCTTATATGTAATCTGTTACATATTAATCCAGCTATCTATAATGCTGTCACAGTCATGAGGGCAGCAGCACTACGTTGTAATTGTCCACCAGATTCATCTATACTCCTTCAAGCTGCTGCTGCTAAAAATAAATCTATATTGTGAAGTGTGTTACATCAATGACTCCATGCATCACAAGTGTTTGTGAATGTGTTTCATCAGTTTCCTTCCACGTAGCACAAGTTTTAATCAGGTGGACATATTGGCCTACATGTGTGACGGTTATGTAAGTGCTCTGAATGGCTCTCAAGAAAGCATCCTCAGGGAAAGAAGAATACCTCACTGAATTTATATACAAAGCACATTTCATCAGTTTTGTGATTATTATAATGATGCTATTATATGTTGCTGCGCTTCCTCTTCTATTTTTTTCCTAAGGACTTTTTGTTGCATATTAATTTAATGAACAGGCTTATCAGTCACCTCAAGAGGGACACTGGGGACGTGAAGGATGTGGAAATGAATGAATGCTATCTCATTACCCATTTGTACCTTTATAAACAGAAATGTGTATCGACAGTATATACATCCAAGACTTATGAAACACTAATGTATTTAGAAATAATGGTAAATGTGTTGTTGTGCCAGTGTTCTTTGCTGCTTCCCTCTGTAAAAAAAAAGTGATTTTCAGACAGTTTGCCACTAAAAAATAAAGATGAACAGCTCAAATAGAGAATGTCATGAGATCCTGTTTGTTATTCTCACTGCAGCATTTCTTCAGTGGACAAGAGAGGAAAAAAATCTGTACATTACGCTAACTATATTTCAGGTTTGTAAACGGATGTGGGCTTGAAGACTGAAAATGTGTCCTTCTATTCAAATTAAAACCTTAGCAAGGAGTACAAAAGTGATTGATATTTACAGAGATGCTTCTTTACGACCTTAAAAAGACATCTTGACCACCTGTAACACATTTGGCTTTTCCTAAAGTGTTATTTCAATATTTTCACTCTAAAAGGAATACTTTTGTCTTGGTTTTTCTGATTGACACATTTGACATATGACTAAAAATGCTCATGACTGCACACGATGAGCAAAAAGATCAGAGGTTGAACTTTGCTACCAAAAGAAGGTGTCATTATTTACAAAACTCAAAAGTTCCTTACAGGAGCTTTGAGCTATTTCAGTCTGAGAGGACAATTCTGTTTTCTCTGAACAATAAACTAAAAATAGTTTCCCCTACACATCTATTTATTGTAGACCTATAACGTGTTTTTTTTTTGCCAAATATAATAAAGCTTCAACATAACCAGTCTAAGGCCTGTCTGTCTATTTCCAAGTAGGATAAAGATTTAAACTTTGTTTCTGTGTGAAGACTTCCATTGTGTTCAGCAATGTGCAGTTTTTATGCAGCCGTGTAGTTTTTTCAAATCCTGTTGTTGCCATCCTGAAAGCTACAAGCACAGAAGTTTAGCACAGCCTAAAGTGTTGTGGCATCTTTAAATGGTGCTGCCACATTTTCTGGGTAAACTTATTTAACACAACAGAATATTACCATCTGCATTTTCATGCTGGTATACTGGTGGTACTGGTGAATATGACACAACCCACTTCTGACAAACAAAGCATCAAAATTTTGTCTTGTACAATAAATTAACTGCAAATTATGGCTTTAGCATGAATCATTTCATCTCGATCAAGAGCTCATTTGACACATTATGATGCCTGATGGACACCCACTCAAGCCCCTCTGACCCTGGACCCTTACGGAAAAGCTGTTTTATGTAATGGTTGCCAGTAGGTGACCTTTCAAGCCTTAATAATGGGAATTATAAAGAGTTCTTTAGAAATGTAGCCCTCAAAGTGAAACCCTAGAAACCAGTAACAGGATTCATATAATTATATAAATCATACAGTTATACAGCTCTGCATTCACCATTAGTAAGGTAAAGGGCTCTATTAGTGCAGTATGTGCTTTTTTTCCCTCACCCTTTTAAGTGCACCTATACAGGTACATTTGCATACTACTTAGATACAAGAACAACGTAATCTAAGCAGCACCTATCAAACATTTGCATAAACGTATGGGCACAACAAAATCAACAATAAGAGAGATTGGAAACAGCTGGTTCATCTACTCAATGATGTAAAAAATCTAGAGAAAATGAACGAATGAATACAAAATAGAAAAAGTAAAAGAGCTTTTAGCCTTATTTACACTTTCATCTTACTTTATAAGGATATACAGAGCTGTGCACATATGGACTGCAGAGGGGGACTTTTCTCTGAGACTGACGAGTTACAACCTGCCTGGTGTTGATTGTGTGAGGTAATTTATGAAGAGAAAGTACACTTAAAACAGGATCATGAACAACGCCTCAATATGCATGCATGTAATTAATACTTATAACATATAAACACTAAATTTTAATGGGAATTGTGATTTTGTTTAGGTGGTACCACATCTTTACTTGAAGTCCTGAGGCCTGTTGCACCAGCTGTGTGTCTTAAATTGAGGATGTTGAGTCCCAACAAAAGCATATGCTGAAACTACTTATCTTGTTGTAGACTCGTAGACTGTAACTTCCACAC